ATGAGGAGTTTGAATTTTCAATGTGACAGCTCTTGGGCTGTCACAGGCTCACAGGGAACCCAGCACTGCCAAGGCTGCCACTAACCCATGTCCCCAAGTGCCACATCCACACACCTTTTAAATCCCTCCAGGGATGATGATTCCACCACTGCCCTGGGCAGTCTGTTCCAATGCTTTACAACCCTTTCAGTGAAGAAATTTCCCCTGATATCCAACCTAAACTTCCCCTGGCACAGCTTGGGGCTGTTTCCTCTTGTCCTGTCACTTGTTCCCTGTGAGAAGAGCCCAGTTCCCCCTGGCTGCATCAAAACAGACCCAGGAGTGTTGAGAGCTTGGAAAATCCTCGTCTTTGAAAGTGAAACTTGTTCCTATCTCACATTTCTCAGACAGTGTAGCTGAAGGTGAGTGCCCTGAACCTGTGGATCCATTCCTGGTGTTGATCTGTGACTCCAGGTTCCTGTTGCCCTTCCAGAGCCTGCAGTGGGGTTTGTGCTGACTGAACAAATCAGCCCTTACCCACCAGAGCAAACCCAGTGACGTGATCCTAAAACTGCCCCGTGCTGCCTGCACAAAGTTGTCTTTCCACTGTACCAGTCCCTTTCCAGGAGCAATTAAAACCCCCTGGAAGGTTGTGTCTTGTTGTGGTTTTGATTGTAGCATAAAGATAAGGACCAAGGAGAAATCCTCTGTGCCCAACGAGACCACGTCCCTCTGTCTGTTGTCTGTGTCCTCTGGAGGTGCTTAGATTGTGAAATTCTCCTCCAGTGAGGAGTGTGATATCAATCAGTCCTCTAGGATTAAATCCCACAAAGCTTGTACCTGGGGGGAATTTCTATGAAGATGTTGACACAGCAGGCAGGATTAAGGCTGGTCTGTTATCTCAGTGGTGCTTCCACACTGTGCATGAGGGATGCACTGAGAGAGGTTTGACTGAATTATGTGAACAATTTTGGGGATTCATCTTCTTTTTAGTGGGAGCATCCTGTTATTTCTGAATGTCTGTTTAACAGAGAAACTTATCTGTTGTGATAGGACAAGGGTAGAGGTTTTAAACTAAAAAAAAAGGATGAAGTTACATTAGATATTGGGAAGAAATTCTTCCCTGTGAGGGTGGGGAGGCCCTGGCCCAGGTTGCCCAGAGAAGCTGTGGCTGCCCCTGGATCCCTGGAAGTGTCCAAGGCCAGGTTGGACGGGGCTTGGAGCAACCTGGGGTGGTGGAAGGTGTCCCTGCCCATGGCAGGGGGTGGGACTGAGTGGTTTTTAAGGTCCCTTCCAACCCAAACATTTCTAGAGTTCTGTTCCCCGTGATGCTGCTGCTGGAGGGAGGAGTTCTCCTGAATCTGCAGATTGTCAGTGAAAACTCTTTTCTGTTTTGACTGTTTAAAACCAAGATGAAATGTGTGCTGGTGTTGACAGTGCTGGTGTTGACAATGCTGGTGTTTCTGGGTGGTCTCAGGTGGCAGGTCCAGCATTCCCATTCCAAAGAGCAACATCCAGCCCATGTCCAGAGCCAGAGCATGGCCCTGAACCCACAGTCCTCCGTGTGCAGTGGGACTTGTGTCTGACACCACATCCCTGCAGCGTTAGGATTAACTCTTTTCCCAAGATTTATTAATTTATAGCACTGAGGGTGAAGTATTTGCTCATATCCAGTCACTTTGTGGAATTAAAAATGTGGGAATTTTGAGAAGCCTGCCTGCCCAGGTGCTCCCTGTCCCTGCAGGGCTCTGGGAAGGGGGTTGTTCTTGGGGTCTGCTTGGGACTGAGCAATTTTTCACAAGCTGGGAGGAAGGTTTCCCCTTTTCCTGGGGAAGAGGAAAGCAAAAGGAGACACAGCTGGTCAGTTTGGGAGTCTCATTTCATTTCTGAATTCAGGGAATCATTACAAACCTAATTTACTTTGAGATTGGATTTTCTAAGGTGCGACTCTTGTGTGAGCTGTTTGTTTTTCTCATCCCTCTGGAGGTTCCTCCTCTGTCCTTTCCACAGAGGTTTTCCCTGTGTGTGGAAGTGTTTTATGCAATAACCCTCTCTGGTTTGGGGTCTGTGCACAGTGACCAGTCTGTGAAGGAGTTTGTGACCTGCTCCAGAAAGAAGATCAATGTTTTGGGGTGCAGGGGGCTGGGACACAACTGTGTGTTCTGCAGGATTTATCCCGTGGGGAATTAGGTGTCCATGTGGCATTGATTGCAACCCTGTGGTGTGGCAGGAAATGTGGGAATTCTGGACCTTTCTTGAAAGCTTATTTTCCCTTCAGAGTGTGTTGATGTACCAAAGTCAGCAGGAACCCCAAACCTGGGAGGCCCCTGACGTCCGAGAGACACATTTACGTGCTGGGGAAGACCCTGTTGGCATGCCCAGCTGTAGGATAAATTTTCTTGAGGAAGTTCTTTCAAAGGAGAACTTAAAGAGCTAAAGGAAGAAGAACCATTTCCCCCTTTGGCTGCTGTCCGTGTTCCCTCTGGCAGCCAGCAGGGTGAGAGGTGGCCCTGAGCGTCCCTGTCCCTCTTCCACCGTGGCTTTCCTTGGACACAGAGCTGTGCCAGGTCCAGGGGGTCAGTGTGGGGTTGGCACTGCTGCTGTGCCACGTTTGGACGTGGCACTTGTCCCCTGGATGTCACCCCGTGGTGTTTCATTTGCAATGAAAGGATGATTCAGTTAAAAACAAAGACATCGCTTTTCGCATGGAATATCCTCCTCTCACCTGCAACCAGGTGCTCCTTTGGGCACAGAACGTTCACAATTCCTTAAGATCCCGGTTTGTTTCCTTTTTAAACTGCCTGATTCCATGTGCCTCGTGCCCCTCTGGAGCGGGGCTGTCACCAGGAGCTCGGCCTCTCCCAAAACACCCAAAAGGAGCCGCTCCCAGTGTTCCCGCTCCTGGTTCCGCAGGGCAGAGCACGGTCGTGGGGTGGAGGGGTGAGCAAGAGGCCTCCTGTTGTTTTGAATTTTTTTAACCCATCCTCCCTGCCAAACGGCCTATTTTCTGCCCCTCATGGTTTCTGCCTAACAAATGGTGTTTCTTTTTTACAGCGTTATGATCCTGGACTTGTTGTGGTGATGGTAAACTTAGCAGTGGTAATTTTTTATTTTCAGACTGAATTACTCCTTTTGTCATCAGTGCACCAATGTTAGGCTTACTTTCTCTGTTGTAGCCATCATCCTTCTGCTTGGTCTTTCATTTTCCTTTCCTTTCCTTTCTTTATGCACACTTGTCTGATCCTTGTTCATTAAAGGGTATTGCTAAGAAGGGATGTTTCTGTTTGTGTTAGAACTGCCAAAATCAGTTTAAACATAAATTTCTAATACTGTCCAAACTTGATTTTTTTTTTCCTCCCCCCCAACACGATGGGCACTAGCACTTGCTACTGCAATTTCCAAATAGATTTTTGAATTAAAAAAAAAACAAACAAAAAACTTTGACTGCCTTAGAAGGCAAAAGTACTGATGCATTGTTTGTACACAGGGGTTTACCAGGGCAATGAGGCTGCATCCAAAGATGTCCATTGCTGGAGAAACAAAGAAACAAACAAACAAACAAAAAAAAACAAACAAAAAAAACCTCGAAAAAACAATTTAAATAATAAATTGTTGGCACCTGGTGCCAGCCATTCCATTTGGGTTCACCACTTACCAGTAAATCCCTGGCTGAGACGTTATGAAAGTGATATTGCACTTAGGAAGTCATTTTTATAACCTGTCTTTGATTTGGTCCTTTTGCTAAAAATTGCAGTCACTGCTTACTGTATTATACCATTGGGCGTGAGAGAAACCCTGTCAAACCTTGATACCCAAAACAAGGCTCAACCCAAAGTATTTTGGATCAAAATGGTCGCTGATTTTGGACCTGATGGATACCTGCCTGTCAAATTGCTGGGCATATCAACAAATCCATAGAGCAACTAATTAAATGGATTTATTTGATTTATTTCTGAATAAAAACCATGCCTCTGTACTTTAAGGTTCAAAAGCCCCTCTGGGGCTGTGGCTTTGGCAGGAATTAGAGCTGATGCTGGCAAAGAGTTCCCACCTATCCGGGTTTTCCGAGGCATTTTTAAAGACTTTGACCTTTTTGCACATGGAATCTTTTTGGCACGATTCAAACCTGTGGATCTTTTAGCCCAAAGGTATAATACCTGTGTATGTGTGTATAACAAAACAGTTGTTTACACCAAACAAGAGCAATAATAAGGGAAGTAAACATTCTGTTTTTTCACTCAAGGTATGCACCGGAGAAGGTAAGTACTCTGTTCAGTGGGTTACATCACAACCAACAGTGCCAGTTGTGATGTAAAAATCAAACATAATAATAATTTGAAATAATAATAATAAAAAAAAAAAAGCTGTGGTAGTAAAGTGCTTGTCTGCCCCATTTTGCTTTGTTTGGCTGGTTATGAGTGGATTAAAGATATGTTGTTTTTTTTTTTTAAGAAAAATAAAAAAAATCTCCAGCATAGTTTGATTAGTTCAAAGTCAATTTTCTTCGCAACTAGTCCTTTTCACAGCTTACAGGTGACACAGGAGTGCCAGAGCATCTCCTGGGGGGGCAGGTGTCACCCACCTGGCCGTGGCTGAAGGAAGTTTGGCATTCCTTGCTCCTGGGGAGGGACAAAAGCTGGTGGGAGGGAGGCTTCCACACCCTTTACAGGGAAGTCCTAAGTGATTATTCATGAGCTAGAGCAGCAAAATGTGTTTAACAACCTCTTCCCTCCTGTGGGAAGATGAGGAGCACGTTTGGCCCCTTGTGGAAGCCGTGAGGGACACGGGGGAACACGAACCACAAGAACATTTGACGTGGCCAGTTCTTGTTGAGAAAAGCCCTTTGTGAGCGCAGGGGGTGCAGGTTTGGCTGTAAGCTGTGAGAATGGCTCGTGTTTGGTTCACTGTAGCTTTCTGGTCTCTGCACTCCAAGGCAAGATCTCTAACCACCCAAACCCAATGTGTACACGAGCTGCGGTGCCGGGCTGCTCCTGATGCCTCTCTGTGTGTTCCTCTTCCAGGGAGGACGGATCCCATCCCTATCGTCGTCAAGTATGATGTCATGGGCATGGGCCGCATGGAGATGGAGGTAAGGTCTCCTCCACCCGCCCCCTCAGCCCTGCTTGGCTCTTGGGAACGGGTGGGGAAGGCAAAATTAAAAAAATTTCAAAGTGAGAATTTGGCATCAAAGATAACAGAACAACTTGCTCTTAAATCGACACAGTAAGAAAACACTTCTCCTCAAAAAAACACTTCTCAAACGCTTCTCCTCTCTGTTTATCCATGGGGAGCTGAGTTTTGAGGTCTGGATGCTCCCCAAAACCCCTGAGCTCTGTGATTTCCCCCCCCCCCAAAGCTGAGGTTGCTGTTGGCATGGACAGGACCCTCCACCTCATGTGCATTAATGACCCATTTTGCACAGAGAAAACGAAGCACAACATGCAAAGGTTCTGTTTCAAACCTCATGGGTTTTAAGCTGTGCATTCTGGCAGTGGGAGTGCAAAGTATTTATGGGACAAATTGCATCTCTTCTCTTTTTTATTTTTTTTTTTTTAAAAAAAAGCTTGACTACGCCGAGGATGCCACGGAGCGGAGGCGAGTGCTGGAGGTGGAGAAGGAAGACACCGAGGAGCTGAGGCAGAAATACAAGGTACAGAAAGGGGGGCATCAACCTCAGAGTGTCTGTGGGCTGGCTGGGAAAAGATTTCTTCTGATTTCTTCTCCTTAGGCTGCAGTGATGGTGGCAGGAATTAAGTGTTCTTGGGTTCCGTCATTGTTGAGATGATTTATATTTTAACAAACTGGTTATTCACTTCCTGGCATTAACCTTGGTGTTTGTTTAGCTGCTAAAGAGCTCCAGGACACCAGCAGGGCTTTTCTCTGTGTGCTTTGCTGCTGTTCTGGAAAAAAAAACAGTTTTATGGTGAGCAGGACATTTCCTTCCCTGTGCCCAGGGCTGCCAGATTTTTCTGGTGAACCTGCCACATTGTTGGTGCAAAACCTGCAGCTGCAGGTGTTAGAGGGGCTGGCAGGGAGGAGGTGTTGTCTTGTGAGTTGTGCATTATTGCATAAATCCTGCTTAATTTGGAAAGGTAGGAAATGGCTCCAGCTTGGAGAAATCGATGGGCTGTAGTTCTTTGGAAGAATTGCTTTGCCAACATTAAAAAAAAAAAAAGATTCTGTATTTCCATGGGGTTTACAAAACCTGTAGGGTTATTTTGTAAACCAGAGGCTGATAAAAATGAGCTGTTATTTGGGGTTGAGTGTGACATGCTGGAGCATTCTTGGATTAGCTGTAACCAGGTTCTCTGTGGGGACCTGGTCTTTGCTGGTCCTTTAATCCACTCATCCTCTTCCCAGCCCATCAGGTTTTAGGAAAACCTGCTTCTTCAGTTGTCCTGAGACTGGGGAAGTACCAGGGTTGAGGAAGAGCCCGAGACATCCAAATGAAGTGTCAGAGTTGCATAAATTTTATTTCTTTGAGAAATAATGGAAAAGTAGTTTCAATTCCATTAAAATTAAACATAACCTTGGCAAATCTAAAATTCCATTTCCCCAGCTGAACAGTTAATTCTGCAGGCAGTTTGTTCAGCTACAAAAATTTATAGCCTCATTTCCTCTTTTTTTTTTTTTTTTTTTTTGAGCCCTTGACTTGCTCAGTCAGTGAACTGCAGGTTTTTGGGCTGTGAATTCCCTGTGCCTGGAATTGTTCAAGGCCAGGTTGGACAGGGCTTGGGTCAGCCTGGGATAGTGGAAGGTGGGGTGGAAGTGGATGGTCTTTGAGGTCCATTCCAACCCAAGCTGTTTGAGGATTCTAAAGTTCTTGGGGTTTGCAATTCTCTTTTCAAATGCAGCTGAATATGTGCTGCTCTGAGACTCTTTTCTTTTCCTGCCCTTATCCAGCCCGGACATTTTCCAGGAGCTCTGGAGCAGCAGCAGCATCTCTCCCAGCTCCAGTGGGTTTTTATTATCATGCTTCATCCTTACCCCTTGCATTTTGGTATTAATCTGTGCAAAATCTCTGCAGTCCTTATTTTTGCTTTGCTCCACAGGAGGCCATTATGTAACTGTGCATCCTGATTAGCCATTCAGGGAGCCTCAAAGGAATTCGGGATAACTCTGCAGCCAAGAAGCAAGCCATAAATGTTCTTTAATTCCCTCCTTTTGTATAGATTCTGATCATTCAAATGGCTGAGTTTCATTGTTCAGCTGCAGGATGCTTGCTCAGAAAAACCTACCCATGGTGCAGGAAGCTTGTTCTGGGATTCAGAGGAACGTTAAACCTCAGCGTTCTGTGGATCTCACGCTGCTCTGTTTTCCTTTCTTGTCTTCCTGGGGACCTGCTTCAGGCTCAAACCTCCAGATTTGTTGATTTTTTTTTTCTTTTTTTCTTCTTAACAAGGGCATCTGGTAATAGATGGAAGCAGGAAGTTGCAATACATCTCTTTTATTTAGGAGGTGAACAGTGCTTTAAATTGAAAACAATCCCAGACATTAGCACAGGAATTTTTCAGATTTTTTTTTTTCCCCCTCCTCAGGTGTTGAAATTTTTTACATAAATTTTGCATCATATAAAACGTGCTCAGTAGTGTTCTTTTAATGCAGTTTTGATGTGGTAACTGGGAGATAAAACGTATTGCCTTGAACAAGATCTGAACTGAAAAGAAAAAAAATCTTGCACAGTTTATCTCTCTTAAATGTTTGCTGCTTCCTCTTGCTGGGCAAGGAAGCTTCCCATGAGAAGTTTATATTGAATATGGAAACTCTTAAACCCTTCAGTGCTTTTTCTCTAATGTTAGGCTATTTTTTTTGTATAATTCTCTTTATTCCAGTTGAATTGCCTGTGGTAAGTGGCTGTTTGGGATGTGCTGCTGCACTGGGCTTTGGGATGTAGCGTTTGCAGCTGGTTTTGAGTAAGAAGCAGTGTAAGAGCTTCCACCTCCTCAGAGTAAACCTTCCCCAGTGCTTGTGCAGGGTGGTGATGTTTTATTAATTCTGCTGGTGGGGCTGTAATTGAGCCAGCCTGGCCAGGGGAGGGGCTGCTTTGCCCTCAGGTTGCTGTGTCTGGGGCTCAGGTGTGTCTGAGCTGGGGCTGTGCCCTGGGGACAGGGCTGGGGAGCAGCACAGGCTCCTTCCAGCACCTGCATTTCCAGCCACTACAGCCACCTGAGGGACTGGGATTGCCCCAGAGTCCCAGAGCTTGTGCCCACCCAAAACCTGTAGCTAATGAGGGCAGGTTGTGACTGTTGCCAATCCAGACACCACCTCTGCCTGCAGGTTTGGTTTTCCACCTATAAAAGCGCTGAATTATAAGGAAATAAATCCTGTCTGCAGCCTTCAAGGTGGTCTCCTTCCCCCTGTTCATTAAATGCAGCTCCCTGTGCCCAGTGTGATCCTTGTGTCTGGGCTCAGCCTGATGGACAGCGTTGCTCCTGGGAAGGTTTCACTGACAGGGAATCTGCTGGGGTGGGTTGGGCTCCTTGGTGTCTGAGCAGTGATTCCCAGCTGGAGCTGCATTCCTCCCTCCTGAATCCAGGCACACAAACCAAGATCAAGCAGGCAGCTGTTAGCACTCAAAATGGAGGAAGCACCAGCATTTGAAGTTCTGTTCCAAAGGCAGGAATCCTCCTTGGTTTGATGTGTGTTTGTGCATCTTACACGCTGCCGGTGCATTTGTGGGTGAGCTCAAGGCTTTGAACCTCTCCTTGGAGCACAGACAATCCCACAGGCTCTCCTGAGGCAGAGCTGCCTTCCCCTGTCAGTGCTGGAGGCCTTGTTTCAAGACTGTTTTAGTGATACCTGTGCTCTGACAAGGTGATATTCTGTGTGAGAAATGGAGTCGGTGGCATTGCAAAGTTCTGGAATCACACCTGTGAATTTGCAAAGACTGCTCAGCTTAATAAGCTGGGCTCAGCAAGGCCAAGTGTCAGGTCCTGCTCTTGGGTCACAACAACCCCATGGAGTGCTCCAGAGTGAGGGAAGAGTGGCTGGAAAGCTGGAAAAGAACCTTGAATCCTTGGTTCAGCTCTGGGCCCCTCATGAAAAGAAAAACGTTGAGGGGCTGGAGTGTGCCCTGGGAAGGGAATGGAGCTGGGAAGGGGCTGGAGCAGCAGGAGCAGCTGAGGGAGCTGGGGGGGCTCAGCCTAGAGAAAAGGAGGCTCAGGGGGGACCTTCTGGCTCTGCAACCCCCTGACAGGAGGGGGGAGCTGGGGGGGGTTGGGCTCTGCTCCCAGGGAATGAGGGACAGGAGGAGAGGGAATGGCCTCAGGCTGTGCCAGGGGAGGGTCAGGTTGGACATCAGGAGGAATTTCTTCCTGGAAAAGGTGGTCAGGCACTGGAAGGAGCTGCCCAGGGCAGTGGTGGAGTCCCCATCCCTGGAGGTGTCCAAGGAAGGCCTGGATGTGGCACTGAGTGCTCTGGGCTGGGGGACAAGGTGAGGATTGGGCACAGGGTGGGCTCAATGATCTTGGGAAGTCTTTTCCAATCCGATTGATTCTGTGATAAATATAACCATCAATATACTCTTAAGTTTTTCTGAAACACTATTTTTCCTTGAAGGACTAACTCCTCATCTTCCAGTCTGTTTTACAGGATGTTTAACAGAAGCATTTCTTTGTTCATTTTTTAGGATTATGTTGATAAAGAAAAGGCCATTGCCAAGGCTTTGGAAGACCTCAGAGCAAACTTCTACTGTGAACTCTGTGACAAGCAGTATCAGAAGCATCAGGAGTTTGACAACCACATAAACTCTTATGACCACGCTCACAAACAGGTAACCAAGTGTTGATAGCACAGTGCACCAGTCTGATGTTCATCGTGGTGGTCTTGTCTGTGGTTAATACTTGGAATTTCCCTGGTGTATCTGTTTTCCTTATAGCTCCAGGAATAGGTGCTTTGTGTTGCTGGGTAAGATTTTTATGCCCACCATGCATTTAAAAATCCAAAACAACAGAGAAACCCCAAACCCCAATCCACCATTGGCATCACGGAGCCCCAGTTCTGAGAGACCCAGGGGCAGGAATGGGCTGCTGTTAAACTGGGAATAGAACATGTGGATATGGATGGCTCCCAGTTTGCTTTTAGCACAGTACAGCTTTGGGGAGTGATGATACACCATGTGTGAGTATTTTTTAGGACTTCTGTCTGTGTTCTGTCGAGTTACTGAAAACAGACTAGGAAATAATGGGCTGTGTCAAAGGAGCACTTCCCAAATCCTGTAACCCACAGGAGAAGGTGGATTTGGAGTCTATGTGGAGCTGGCTTTGTTCCCAAGGTAGGGATGTGTTCACAGGGTGTTTCACACTGCACAGTAAATAATAAAAAGTTCATGTGTTAGCCTGGTCTGTTTGACCACTTAAGCTGCTAAATGAGATGTAACTGCACAGCAGACAGCGGTGTTGGGCTCATCCAGAGCTGGAATGGCTCAGAGGAGGGTTTTGATGTTCCTAGTCATAAATTCTAACAACACAATCATTAAAATGCTGATACCTCGTGGAGGATGTGCTGCAGAGTACTAGAGCTTGCAAAATAGCAGTGAACAGCTTAAAAACAGGAATATGGCATTAGAATATGATTTTTTTGTGTGTGGATTAAGTGTAGCATGTGATAGTATTCCGAGTAGATTCTGTAAGGGAGTCTTAACAGGAATTCTCATGGCAGGGCAGTTTTCTGTGACCAAGTTTGGTTTAGTGGGATTCAGAGCAGAAATGCCTTCATTCACTTTGTGTTGGGCAAAGGGCTGTTTTGGCACAGTCCTGACACCTGAGAGCTGTGAACTGCACCTGAAGGTTTCCATCAGCTTGGCTGAAACTCGAGTGCAACGACCTGCATTTATTTAGGAGGTGGAAGGACCTGTTTGTGTCACATTCTCAGTGTGCTGATGCAGCATAATTATGTCAACTCCTGTTCAAACCCTCGGTGACTAATGGGGGACTGACGTGAGCCTGGCAAGGCCCAGAGCTGTTCTAGCACCTGGAGATGCTGTGAAGGAAGAAACAAACCTGTGGAAGCAACCTCCCCTCGTTGGTATAAAAGGAATGATCAGCAGGAGTGACCTGAGAGAAAAATGTCTTGTAGGCACACAGGGTGGGGACATCTTCTCATCAGCAGGAAGAATTTAGGGGTTGCTGATTATTTTAAAAGGAATTATGTTCTTGGATAATTCAGTCCATTGCAGTCACTTCAGGCAGGCTTTGGAGCAAATGAGCCTCCAAACTGTGGCTGCATCACCCAGCATTAATTTCCAGTTACAGAGGGATTTAGACAAAGAAGCAATTCATGCTTTGCTTAGGGAAAAAATTGCTTGTCCAGCTTTGTGTCAGGCTGAAATGTGTGTGACCCTGTTGGGTCTGTGTTCAGGGAGTGAACTTGAAACTCCAGAGACATAATGAGAGTGAATTTGCATAAGTAACATCATCTCGCTGCTGTGTCCAGTCTAAATTTTAAGGTAGTTTAATTAAAAAAAAAAAAAAGAAAAAAAGCTGTACTTTTTATATGTTGCATGTTGATGTTTCACACTTTGCCTTTTTGGACAAGAAGGCAAGGTTACAGAAAGGGGAGCACAAAGTTTTTGAGGAAAACCAGAAAGTTTTCTTCAAAGTAGGCCACTCAGTTGGCTTTCTTGGAAAGATGAGCTGCTACAGTATCTTAGATAGTTACAGCAACCTGGCTTGGTGTAATGTTATCTGCAATATTTTGTCTTCTCAGTGGTAATTTTTGAGGCAACAGAGCTCGTTTTTCCCTTTTTCTTGGCTTGATTTCCCCAGGATCATTTTTGCTTTTAAGTATTTTTAGTTCCACATCCCCTGACGTTGAAGTGTTTGCTTATCCCTCTTTGGTGCAGCGAGCCACAGGCTGTCCCTGTAAATAGATGTTCCATCCTCAGATCCCTTTCTGCTCCCCAGTTATAAAGACACTGTCTTGTATTCCAGGAAGGAACTCAGGATTATTGCCAAACAGGGATGATAGGTAAGTGTGTTGATCCCAACCGGATAAATTTTGGACCCACCAAAATTGTGCCAACACCAAACAATTAAAGGGGAGGTTTATTCCATCATTTCCTGACTATCCTGCTTTTTTAGAGCATTTGGCTCCATCTGAATCAACCTCAACACCAAGTTTCTATCTAAAAGGCAGAATTTCCTTACCTTGGAAAACAACCTTCCATTTATTCTCACAAACCTGTTTCAGTTGCTGTATTTTAACCATGCTGCTGGAGGTGTGCAATGTTGTTCCCTAGCTTTTTTTTTTTAATTAGGTTGATAGTTGAGATGAGAAGTGCAGCTGTTTTAAAGACCTGTAACCTTCTGGTCACCCTCTGGTCCCTCTTGGGGGAAGTCAGAGGACTAAAAGCAACTGGAGTGGGTGCAGATGGCACTGCAGGAGGGACAATAAGCTCAGTTCCCTCACAGATCCTTCAGTGAGCAACTGGAAAAGTCTTTAACCATGGATCTCATAACTTCTTGTACCCTGGAAAGCTGCTGATGTCTTTAATGGTGGCTTTTTTAGCTGTGAGATCTTGATCTAAAGGCCTGGTAGGTTATGAAGGGTCCTGCCTTGGATGGTGTCCAGTCACAATTGTCAACAGAGTAATAATTAATAATAATGTACAGAAAAAAGGTGGAAAATGTTGGAAGAAAACTTCTGCAGCTAGAGAGGAGCTTGGGTGGTGAATATGGACCCAGTGTATATCCCTGGAAGTGTCCAAGACCAGGTTGGAGAGGGCATGGAGGGTGTCCCTGCCCATGGCAGAGGGTGGGACTGGATGGGCTTTAAGGTCTTTTCCAACCCAAAATAGTCTGTGGTTCTGTGATTTTTGTGCAGCTTTTCTGTCCTGATCCTTGGGAGCTCCCACAGTCCTGGAGCACTCTGGGCTCAGTGGGAATGTGACCTTAGGGCATTATATCCAAGTGGGCCCTTAATTCTGTTTGGGGTTTTGACATCAAGATAGAAACTCCACGTTAGGTTTGTGTGAAGATGAGGGTGGGTGCCCTTACCTGGGGCTGTA